TCTTGAAAGGCAAAGAAAAATATCTACCTTGGCAACGTCATTGACTCATAGTTTTTCTTACGAACCGGTTAAATACCTATAACAAAAAAAGCCAAAGCCCGTTGAAGCACCGGAAATATGTTGACCACGATTTCTATCTTTCATGCAACTTTGTATTTGTGGTTGGAGTAGGTTCACCTGGAGCAATAAAGGCAACAAATTGTAAGCAAAATCTACTACGTTTCACATTGTTTTGTTTCACTAAGAGTACAAAATATTCTGCCTATTATTTTATCTAATAGTCTGCAATATAGATTTATTTCTGCAGGTAAGAAAACTTACCTTAAGCATGCAATAGAGAACTTTGCCTCAATTGTAAAGGAACATGTAGCTTATGATGAATGTGTTTTTGATTGGAACAACAACATTACTGCTATGTCGGTAAATGACATAAAATCTTGATGAGAATTAATATTTTTATTGTATGCATTTCATCTGAGACTTAAAATTATTCTATAGATTCTACTTACAAGGATTGGATATTTTCGAGATCTTGGTTATCCATGTGAGTCGTCGTTTATATCATCAACCAACATGACTGACTTGTTCATATTCTCATACACTTCTGATCCAAAGTACATCATGACAGAAGGTGATATCTTAATCTGTGAATTACACATATGTTTAACTGCCCTTTATTTTTTCTGATCATAATTTGAGACAAAAATATCTGCATTTTCTGGTGGACTAATCCGTTTAAAGCCAAGTACTTCTGTAGCAATATACATCTGTTTCCAATATCTCCCTCTGCTTTTCTTTTTTTCCCTTTAAAATAATCCGCGCATCGCGCGGGTACATATACTAGTAAGGATTAATAGCACTTATGTTGCTTAAGTAGAACAAGTAGGAACACGTGAATTAATAGGGTCCGATATTCATTCCTTGCTCAAATAGAAGGTGACAATCAAATCTAGCAATTACACATTAATGGTGTTCGTTTATCAAAAGAAACCCACTTTGATTCAAAAATCAACCTGAACACCAAATCTTTTCTTATACATCACAAAACAATGTGATTAGTGACTCATGTTTCAAGATTCGTCAAAAAAAAAAAAATCTTTCAAAAATTTTTCAACAAAAACATAGTATGAAAATATTTTTACATCGTATCAAACACAACGTAAGGTTTTACATTTTACTTATAACTTCATCACATCTAAACAACATTTAGCAGACTTCAATATTCTTGAAACTCAGCACTAAGCATAGCTTACAGGGCGGCATCGGGCTGTCGCTCTGGCGAAGAAGCTTGGAATTCTGGCAAAGCCTTACAGGAATCATATATCCTTGATAAAGTGGGAAACTGGGACTGCACATAGACGACGTAAGGTGCATTTCAAATCAAATCACAGAATACTAGAAGTTCTATTCCAAAAAGAAAGACTGCAAATAAAAAATACAATTATGTGTTGGTAGATATGCTCATTAAATGATAGAAAATGCAAGTAAGTTTTGGTAGATATGTTCATTAAACCACCTGCTGATTGAGTATTTTAAGTTTTGTTTTGTTTGTTTTCTTGGAAGGTTGAGGAGTGGGGAGTGAGTGGACAAAAAAGTTGAAGACAGACATTGTTAGATTCAATGATGACGACGACAACAACAACAAGACTAGTATTTTACCACAAGTGGGATCTGGGGAGGGTAAGATGTACGCAGCCTTACCCATGCCTTAGAAGGACAGAGAGGTTGTTTCCGATAGACTGTTAGATTCAATGACTGGACAGTATATATCCTCAGGAAAAAAAGCAGGATCCACGTTAAGTGTGATGTGAAATGTTCTCCACAAAAAACAGAAGTTACTTATTTTTTGGTAATTCATTGGATATAAAGGAGAATATTTCATGAAAACGATTTACGTCATACCAAAGACACCATTGCCAAGAATCTTATTTACATGAAAATAGTAGTTTTTCAAGATAATAGAACTCAACTCAACCCATCTCATAAGCTCGATATCCACTCGTATAAAACTCAAACTCAGCTCATTTACTTTACAAACAAACAGAACTTGAGCCCTGTGTCAAGGATGCTCAATTATTAGATAAACAAAGCTCATGAAAGCTCAATTTGTCTCGCTCAGCTTGATGCTTCACGAAAACTCAGGTAACTTAGAGGGTTTTTTTATTTATCGTTTTTGCTTGGTAGGTTTTGCTATGGCATCTAGAAAGTCAGATGAGTGTTAGCTGTACTCAAACGAATGGGATAAGGGTGGCTCACGTAGACAAACAATGATTCGGAGCCAAGCTTCATGTCAACTAAGTTCACGAACGAGCTCAAGCTTGGTTGTTTAGCCAAATAAGCTGTGTCAAGCTCGACCATGGAAATTAATCGACCAGAGTTCAATCTCAAACTCGAGCATATGTATCAAACTAGTCCAGCCCGGTATGGCCAGTATAATAGGGCTAAGCAAGTTGGAGCTTTAGAGTTTGATTAACTTGGCTCTCTTGCAGCTAAGGACAATGAAGTTTGTTTGCACTGAAATCCAATGCATAGGGGCAGCCCGGTGTACTAAGCTTCCGCTATGCGCAGGGTCCGGGGAAGGGCCGGACCACAAGGGTCTATGCAGTCTTACCTTGCATTTCTGCAAGCGGCTGTTTCCACGGCTTGAACCCGTGATGGAAAAGAACTAATAGAGTTTAAACAAGTAATGGGTAGTCATTTTGCAGCCAAAAAAATGACCCAAATCCATTTAATAGCAATTTTAGTTGTCACCGTATTCACAAAACACCCACCAAAACTTACCATGTCAATGTTAAATCTTTTAGTAGCCACTGCAATTTGAGGCGCCAAAAACACATCAGCCTGCAATTTTCCACCGTGTAATATCAGCTCCAAGATCATTTAGGAATAATATAATCAAGGTTATCGTTTTAACTGTTGTTGTGATTGCTGTTTTCATCGAAACAAAATAATACCCTGATCTCATTTATTTGAGAGAAGCAACAACCATACTCAGGAAAATATTCAACCCACAAAAAAAAAATTCTAGATCCAAACTACAAAGTTCATCTAAATGATGCACCAGACGAGGATTTCCAGTTTCTTTGCATGCACATAAAACTATATCATCGTCATAAAAAACAAAAACATCACTTCACAACTGGAAATATTACCTCTACTACTTTCCAATTAATTTATAGAAGCTCAATAAATTCAGGTGCACAATAAAACAATGTTAGCATGCAAGCATAGAAATGTTGAGAACATACCATATATACTTCTTTTCCTGTAGCATACTTTCCAGCAGATCCAGTGAGCAATTTTTCAAGAGCTGCTCCGAAAAAAAAGTAATTTCTTCAGAACCAATTAAACACGAGGATGAAGAAGACTACAGAAGGAAACAAAATCCCCTATATCAGACAACACAAGGAGGCCTAGTTGCCACATTCTTATCCTAGAATCTACAGGAAAAAGGATCATGATCTATAGCAAAAGAGTATCATCTTGTCTAAACACCAGAAGCTTAAGCAAATGGGCATATTGAACACTGTAGGCTGAAAGAGATCCTTCTGTTATCCAATTCAGAACTAACTTTCTCCTCTGACTCATGAAAAATCAAATTCGTCACCAATTAAGACGAATATTACCTCTATCCCCATCCCTGTGATGCTTTTTATGAAAATTAACCCAATAAATGTTCAATTGGATATCCAATTTTTTTGAAGCATATGTACAACTAACCATATTCAAAAAGATACAGGGAATCAAGTTTTAATAACTCAATGAGTAATATAGAAAGTTGAAATCCAACGCATTTGATGCTTTCCCTATTATACAAGCTCTATTTACAAGCCCAAAACTACCCTGCTACATATAAAATATGCAAATCAAACTAACTCCTTATAACCAATCCAGTGAAACTATGTGAAACAAATTGGAACAAGAGACTCCAGATGATAAACATTCTTTTCAAAAAAAAAAAAAAGAACAATGATGAACATTCTTTTTTCAATCAGTACGATGAACATTCTTTTTTTCAAATATTACAACGATGAATATTCTTATGTACCAGAATAACTCAAAGCTCAAGCATCAAAATTAACTTGAAGGCTTTATTGGTGACTTCTGTTTTCTTCATGTGGGCTAAATGGGTATGGGAAATAGACCATGCTTAAAACTTAATCCACAGGAGTGCCTTTCCTGCAATGGATACACAAGCAAGGATAGCCTGCTCGGCTTTACTTAATTTCCCATTTTTACCTTCCTTTTTAAAAAAATGACGTTAGTTTCAAAATTTTAAACTTCAGCAAGGACGTGATAATTCAATGAAATCCTTGATAAAGCCTCACAATACAACAATTCCTTTGAGAATGGAGAAGCAACAACAACAAACCCAGTGTAATCCCACAGGTCGGGCCTGGGCCCTTTGAGAATGGAAGAAGGAATGATACAGTTCCCTGAAGCTATAGCGATATAGTGGATAAATGTTAGGAGACGGTTAGGAAAAAAGCAAATAACATACTTATATCAAGAGAATCAAGGGGAAGTTCCAAAGAAACTTACCACTAAAACCTTTTTGTATGTGAAATTTTGCCCATGATTGTTTCTCTTCGGGACCAACCCTTTCCTCCATGTATCTCTGAAAAATGAATGATAACTATTATTTGCCCTGACAAAACAACTTCCTCGGCAACTCATAGCATAGAAAGGAACTGCTGGAGCCAGAGAATACCAGCACTGACAACATATGAAGTGGCTGCATACTAGAGCTGACAATACTTGCTGCCTGCAGAGAAAAAAAAGGCATGCACAGTTTTTATCCTAGTCTTAACCAACCTTGCTGCATAGTACATATTTCATAAGAACAAATTTCCAACAAGTCAATGTTCATCAACCTTAAAGCTGGAGAAAATATATATCTCCCTCCTTCAAGATATCTTGCCCTTATGGATTCAAGATAATGAGCAGACACATGCAACACGATAAGCTCATTTTTATTTCTAAAATGTTTTCTTCAAGATGCCCTTTAAGAACGTTTTTTCCTGATTAGTTCATAATGCACTTTGAGGACTTCTGACTGAAGGATCCACAGACACTTGGATCTAACCTGAAGATTGAGAGCTCTTAATTGAGGTTCAACTGGCAACAGGGGTCTCTGACAATAGTTCTCTTCTAAATACTAGCCAAACAGAAAAGAGATTAGCACATTTATGATGGTGCCAGGGTTAGGAATCAAAGAAGAATGCATGAGCTTAAAAGATCTTATTCACACATAAAAGAACCTACTAGTAAAATTGCATAGGAGTCCGAAATGACCACATCGCCATCAACCAATACAGGAACATAATGAAGAGGATTTAATTTCTCAAACTCTGCAAATTATGCTTATGATATTAGTCATATATGATGGTGCAACAAAAAAATAATGCAGATACCACCAATATTCTATTCTGGAAGCGTTGCACAAGTTCAGAAACTATGCTAGTGAACCACTGATTGCTACAGAAGATTGTGTTTATGGTCACGTTAGGGCAAAAATAAATGGAGCAGAACTTTATCACATTACTCATAACTGGATAGCAGAAGCTGGTATCACAATCTTAAGCAGTAGAAATCTGAAGTAGAAACTAGCTTCCATAGCTCAATCAAGAGAGAATGTCCTCTAATGTAATTAAGTAGATGATTCTATGCTTCGTCTCCTTTACTTTTTCTGGATTAAGTTTGTCTACTTTGACTCTTTCTACTATCCAAACACGGCAAGAGCTTGCGCATGTATACCTATGCTTAATCAAACTGAGGCTACCTAATTACATAATATTTACGGATTTCACATTGTAAGACTTCCTGTTACTTATTGGATGCCTTGATCCTTTGACTTAAAAAAAATCTTATATTACACGAAGAATCAGGCACCGGAAAACAGAGAGCTAAATCGTACTGGAAGTTATTAATTATTGAAAGGATATTTTGTTACATATAAGGAATCTAGGATACTGGCCCAGCATCCTTACCAAAGAAAGTGTGTGGTTAGATGGGCATATATCGCCCTAGACAGGGATAATATTAGTCGTATCACAGAAAGGTCAATTGGACATGTCTTTGCTGTCTTGGAGAGGAGGGTAGGGTTGAGCTACAAAAACTAGATATCAGTACCTAAAAAGCAGCTGCTATTTTAAGATAAATTTGGAAGATATGCTGAGAAAAGGATACCCTGTGGATAAAAATGGGGAAGATGAGATCTTATTGGTACCGGCAAAATAAAGAACTTCAGACAGATATGGTAGCCTCATGAAGGTTCCTGGGGTTGTAGAACCCACATACAATGAGATTTTTTTTTGTAGAACCCACAGACAATGAGATTTTTTTTGTTCTTCTGATCAGTGTGACTGATCAGAAACAGCCAAACAACTTATTCTTACCCTTCAGGGAAATAGCTGCTAGTTCTGCCCATCACTATAACAATCATGAGGTATAATCCACACAAGCTAGTGTTATAAGTTTTGCCAAAACAGTCAAACCGCTTTTTTTTAATCTTTAAAAAATTAAGTCAAACAGCTTATTCATATTCTTTATTGAAATGGTTGCAACTTATGTTCATCGCTATTAAAATCAAGAGCTATAAGCTTTTTGTTTATAAGTAATCAAAAGCTCCATTTAAAGGGGACTAGGAAGAACCATGACATTGAACCATCAATCACATCTGATGTGCTTATTGTAACAAAATGTGGCAGCTGCTACTATCTTTATATCTAGTTAAGCACATAATAACTAATTATCACAGGAGAAAGAAAAGCCAATATTCAGGCGCGATGTAAGCATCTGCTGAGACATTGCGGGCGCACCACAAGGAATGAGCTTTCTTGGAATTCATTAACTACATTTTCTTTTATCAACATAATATTGCATTTCAAGATAAGCCTTTGGTACTTCTGAACAAGCAATTCAATAAAATAACTAGCAAAAAGTCAAACATAATACCTGAAGTGAACTGTTCTCCTTTGTCAATGTTGACTGCTCTATATTCATAAGAAAGTCCTGTGCACCCCAGAAACTAAAACACAAAGTTAGCAGTCAAACAGTTCCTCAGTTGACAAACCAAGAAAAGATGCTACATAAAAATTGTATCTTTTAGTAGGAGGGAAATAGCCAAGAATAGACCTTTGAGGTTTAAGGCAAAGCGAATTCTCCAAGAACATGAACTTTGCCAGAAAGAATACAGTATAATCTTTGAAACCCATGTTGAATCAGCAGCCATCTTCTGCCAAAATTCATTGAAATTTGAATTTATTATATAAAAAAATTTGCTCCTTTCAACTGTGTGTTTTTGGTGGGTGGGTGTGAAAAAAGAGAGAGAGAAAATTGTACCTGGGAGTAATTGGATTCCATGGATGAAGATGAAATGGGAACAGCTGATGAAGCATCAATATTGGATTTGGTTGTTGGAGTTTCAGTGTGAGAAAAATCTGCACCGAACCACCTTTGAAAATAGTACCTCGGAAAATTGTCACCTTTGACTAATTTAAGATAAGATCTGTTAATTTGCAATAACAATGGTGGATTAATCTTCATTGCTCAACTCACTCACTTTAGGCAATTTTTACTGTTTCACCTCCTCTCTAGTCTCTGCTATAGATCTAAATTTACAAAGGACGAGGATGTTTTTATTTAGTATAAATTGCGCTAAATACCCTTATAATTTGACTACTTGCAAATACATCTTTTTAATTTCAAAATCAAACAGTTACATCCTCTTAAGTAAGAATAAAAATTTTCATTTTGCTAGATTCTTAAGAGTTTAGTTTAAAATAACAAGAGGTATATCTGTTACCAAAAATATTTAAATTTAATTACAAAAACAAAATTACAATTACAAATAAGAAGTTCTTATGCATTTGTTTTAATGAAATTTAAGAAAGAAGATAAATATTTTGGTTGAGAACTTTTATTCACGTATTTGATAAAATAGACAATTAACATCTTCTTGGAACATATATCTTTAAAACTCTTAAATAGGAAATGAACACAAAATACTTATTTAGGCTATACCAATAATTATTTCTCCATTTGTTCCAATTTATAGTTACTACTTCTATCATTAATTTTTTTTCCTTTAATCGTGATTACGTGTCTTTGTTAAATGTATTGAATTGCTAATTATTATATATTTTTTAATTACATAAAATTTATTTTAAAAAATTATGTCTAAATTCACACTAAAATTAAATAGTTTGACCATAGTATTCATGTGTCTATTAAAAATGGAACGGAGTGAGCAATAGCTATCTATCACCTTAAAACATGTAAGCTATCTATATTTTTTTAATTATAATATTTGTGATATACGAGTTTCTACAAATATTTTTTACAGGTAGAATTTAAACTCAGAAATAAATACGAGCAGAATATTAAAAGGGTGAGCGCGGTAAGGAAAGCGAAGAAACAGCTCCCGCCGACTCGACGTATAAATAGCTTAGGGTTTGAGAAGAAACAAGGATCGCCCTTCACTCCTCTCCGCCTAGGGTTCCACCACCGCGAAGCTGAAACAATGGCATTTTGGGGTAAAATTTTCTCAACTGTTTTCTACTGCTATTTTTATCATCCATTACTGCGTTTAACATTAGAGCCTAAACATGTAATTGTATTTACACGTTTGCTACCCCTTTTGAATCCATAAATAGTATGTACGGCAATTTTTTTGGTTTTTGTTTTTTTAATAGGAATTGAAGTGAAACCTGGAAAGCCGGTTACTCATTCTTTTGACAATGCGAGAGGAAGGCTCCGAATTTCTCAGGTGATTTATATATAAATTAATTAAATCTCAGAT